TTATATGACCTATTGAGGTATCATTGATAATGAGAACTATTGGCCAAACTGGATGATAAATAGTACATGACACTGTATGTCTTCAGTAATAACCAAAAACTCCTTTCCAAAAAATGTGAAATCTTAAAAGTCAGCCAGTCATGCCAGTGTTGACACCAAAAATATTTGACTGATTTTTCGGAATGACTTCAAACGTGTTCCTCTTTATATTGAAAGTGTGGTGTTACATTTGATTTTAACTTGAAAAACTGAATTTATACTTGCCATGAGGAATACAACACATATCATAAGTTAAGAAGGAACTGTACTTGGTAGTCTTTTCATCTTTTTGGCCATGGTCTGTTTTTCTGATGGTTTTTGATTGTCCCTTTTGTATCTTCTCCCTCTGTTGTATCTTCTCCCCCTGTTGTATCTTCTCCCTCTTTTGTATCTTCTCCCTCTGTTGTATCTTCTCCCCCTTTTGTATCTTCTCCCTCTGTTGTATCTTTTCCCCCTTTTGTATCTTCTCCCTCTGTTGTATCTTCTCCCCCTTTTGTATCTTCTCCCTCTGTTGTATCTTCTCCCCCTTTTGTATCTTCTTCCTCTTTTGTATCTTCTCCCCCTTTTGTATCTTTTCCCTCTTTTTGTCCTCAATACTAATTATACTATATATTGCAATCTGTGTTTGTACAGCAAATATTTTTGCCACACTTATCTCAGAAACTTCTGAATAGAATGATTTCATCTTGGGTAAGCAGCTCAACAGTTGAGATATAAAGTGTGTGTGCTTTTTGGGCCTCTCCAACACCTACTTCTGTATTTTGATACTTTGAATTACGAGTGGATGTATGCTCAGCACGAAAAGGGGGGCATTCTTGTTGAAATGTATTTGCAAAAATTGTTTATCGCATAGAAAGATAAGAAAGTCTGCATGTATTTTTTAAAGGATAGTGAGTAAAATCATGCATAAGACCAAACCATGCACAATTGATTTAGGGAAGATCTGGATTTTCAGGGTTTCGTACAGTTATTTAGAGTAGATGAGTCCTAGCTAGACTTGTCATTTTCGTCTGAGACTTACCATACATTTACAACTTATGATGTGCACCATGGTGGAAAATGCAATAGATTTAAACTTGCATTTTAATTTTTGATATCACTGTATGTACATGAACTACACATATAATCTTACATTATTGTCTGTTTTTGAAAATTCAGTATAATAAAGGGACACAGGATTGGATAAACAGTAGTATATTTTGATAGATGGAATTTTATTTGTAATTTTGACTACCAGGTCCCCTTCACTATGTTCTGGACATTTGTGGAACATAAGACAATTAACCTGATAAATACTATTGTCCTCATATACAATTGGCTGTTTGTTGTTACAACTAACAAGTATTTACTATAAATTTAAAATAATAAGACAAGAATGGAATGTGCAAATAATGATCACCTGTGATATACCACTGATAGATAATAAAATGGTAACTGTTTGATAATAGTGAAATGTAAAAACAGATTGATCATTCTATTGTTGACAAGAGAAGCATGGGTAGATTTTAACTTTGTGTTTGCTGAACCATATTTTTTGCTAAACAATACAAACTTGGGTTATACATTGTTGACAAACCTAGGCGGTATTTCACATCACTGAATTACTACAAAAATAAAGAAATATGGGGGTAAGATTGATTTTGTTTTGCAAGTTTTAGAAATTAGAAAATGCATATATTTTGCAGTTTCTTAGATGGATGTGTTAAAAAAATAAAATGTCAGAATTTTCATGAAACTTTATATTGTGCATGCTGGAAGAAAAGCTTTTTCTTGCATATAAAACTGATATAACATTGTGTTCTAATAATGACAAATTCATTTGAGTTAGAATGTTGATCATCAATTGAAGCTGCTCCCCTAAGGACTAAAGCGATTAAAATTCTGGTCAGGCTAGTAACAAGATATTTTTTTATTGGAAGTTATACATACAGGAAATTGAAAGTGTTGAACCATTATCATTGAAGCTTAATAAGTCTTTATTTAAATTAAAGTAGGTATAAATATTTGTTTTGAAATTTCGTGTGAACATTTTCCACCTTCATAACTAGAGGTTGAATGAAATTTAAGTCCTTACGTAATCCGACTGAGAATCTTTAACATGTCTGCATGTGTAATTAATTTTCTGGCTTTGTATCACTAACCTATTTTAAATTTATGAATATTTGATAAATGAGTTTATCAGTTTATCAGAATTTTTATCTTATTATATCAGTTATTTATTTACCAAACTTGTTTACTTATATCTGTAGAATGAACACTCCCTGCTAAGTACTTTGATGTATAGAGGATGGTTTGGATGTACATACATGGAGTGTACTTTAGTACAAAACAGGCTATCAAATTGTTTACTGCCAATGCATACCATGCATTATTGCATTGGGCAACATCAATCATATAAAATTTAAGTTGCCTATTTATTCACAAATTTTATGAAAATTGATTGAAAACCCATTTTATTATTTTGAACCTGAAAAGATTTGAAATGCACACACTTTCCTTACTAACTCTAAAACCTTTAATTCACACATCAGTTGTATTATAAGGGTGGTTAAGTGGTTAAGTAGTCGAACTACTGTATCACTAGCCTGTCAACACTGAGGTTGTGAGTTCGAATTTGGCATTAGGTAGGTGCGCTTGACTCCAATCTTAATTGACTAGGATTGTCAGTTTTCCTACCGAAGGTCGGTGGTTCTCTCCAGGCAATCTGGCTTCCTCCACCAATAAAAACTAACTGCCATGAAATAGCACAATAGTGCTGAAAGTTGTGTTAAACACCAATCAATCAATAGTTGTATTATACCTCGCTCTAGCTACACAGAGCAATAAAAGTTCTCCATTTAATATGTTCCTATTATTTTCATGACCAAATTACAGAGTGGGTGATTTAAGGTCGACCTTTAAAAAAATTGAATAATTCTTCATTGAAAAATGTATGAATTGATAGCAAAATTTACAGAGTTTTCTTTTTTAAAGGTGGACTTTTGATTGTTTTCAATTAAATTTAAGAATGTCACACACCAGTTACAATAAAATGTTATTTTATTTCACCTGAGGCTTGTTTTTATAGCACCTTAATATCTACATTAAATATACCCATACAACACAAAGTTATTATTGCTGAACTGTTACGTGCTTGAGGATACAGCTTCAGTAATTAGGCATAAACTGTATGTCTGGTGCCTTACCTGTAATTACAGGTGTTATATAATTACCTGTTTATATGTGGTCATCATTATTTACCTCAAGGCACTATCACTCAATGTCCAATTTAACATTCTTTTCTCTAGTTATAGACACATGTTGGTTCTATTTTGTTTTGTAATGAGAAAATTTTAATGTTTTCTGTTATGGAGAAAAGTGTTTTTTAAAGGTAGGTTGTATTCATCTCTTGGAATGAACTGTCAGAACTTTGGAATTCAAAAGTTTGGAAATTTTACAGGTCCATTAGATTCTTCTCACAGATATCCAGACATAACTTTATTAGTATTAGTCAGATCTTGTGGCTGCTTGACTTCTCAGTGTATTGTGTTGTTTGAAAATAAAGGTTGGACAGGAGCCGAAATAAAATATATAGGTTTGATTCTTCAAAGATATAAACAAAAAAGAAGTGGAATTTTAAAGGTTGATGTAAAACTTATGTTAGGAGCTGTGCATATTGGACATATATTCTTAAATCAATAAATTTGAATCAGATAGAAAAAAGTCAATTATTATACACATGGCATTTGTAAAAAAGATTTGTGCTGGATGTACATAAGGGAACAGTGATTTATCCTTCTCAAGATTCTTAACATTATACAAAAACCTTACACAGCAGAATAAAGCTGGCAGGGTACTTTGATAATCATGGATTGTTGCTACATATTTCTTTGAGGAAACAAAAGTTAATATTAACCAAAATAGAAAATTTACGAAAGATATGGAAGGTTTCTTTTAGTTCTTAATTTTTTTTATTTCAACATTATATTGTATTTTATTGGGAGTTTACAAATGCTTCCCTTGATGTTACCTTTAGATTATATTGATGTTACCTTTAGATTATATTGATGTTACCTTTAGATTATATTGTAACACATATGGTAACAACTTGTGAAAAAATGAAAAATAAAACCAGTGGAATATAGATTTCCTCTTGAATTGTGTAGCATTAAATTTTAATGATTGCTTGAGCTTTAATTTTTTTTCACTTTGATCTAAGATTGTGAATTAATACTGTTTTATGACATATATATACAAAATTCAGTTTGTGATTTTGAGAGCAAATGTTTTTATGAAATATGACAGGATTGATATGTATTTTATATTATTTCCCTGAAAAGGTAGGAAGTTTGATATTTGATCAATGTCTAAATATTTTTAAAATCTATTATTCCTATTAATTTACTGCTATTTTATTTTCTCATAAGGATAGAGTGATAAATTCTTTAATATTGAAGTTCGTACAATTTCATGATATATAGAAATGAGTGGTAATTTAGCCATTCTTTAGCATACTTAATGCAGTATGTTTACATTGCTTTGTATGGTATTGTTAATGAAGGCTGAAACAGTTTACTGGCCATTTGTCCTTATCTGACATTCCTTGTAAAGATAGTATCCAAACTGTTGTCACATGTCAATATTGACCACAAGTAATACATACTGACACATGCACAATCAATACACATCATGTACACAATCAGTAGACCTTGTATATATTGAACTAGATTTTAAAAAACAAAACATTCATTCCTTTTAGCTCAAACTATAATATTAGACAGAATACATGGTGAAATGCTGTATGATTTAATTGCCTGAATTGGAAAAAGTCACTCTTTTACTGAAATTTAATTAAGAATGAATAATCCTGAGGATTTACTTATCAATTTAACATTGGATAATTCAGAATGAGGAATGCTGATTTTAGATGTATGATACGTCAGAATGACAAGTTCTGAAGAGGTTATTTTTTTCAATTTCAGATACATGTATGATGATTTAGAATGAACAGTCCAGAGGTGTAACAAAAAAGGCATCAAAATGTCTAAGAGTCGAATGAAGAAGTTCAGTTTGTTTAAAAAGTTTGGGAAGAGTACAACTGATGTAAGTATGAGATGAAATGATTGTTCCTAAAGAGTAAGGTAGCTTTTATCTTGCTGCCTTATTAACCTGTTGATAACATGATTTTATAAGCTGTCAGAAATGAAGAAAAGGAGATATGGGTTATACAATGTACATCAATGATACACATGACCTCATTCTATTGTACATGTACATCAATGATACACATGACCTCATTCTATTGTACATGTACATCAATGATACACATGACCTCATTCTATTGTAAATGTACATCAATGATACACATGACCTCAATCTATTGTACATGTACATCAATGATACACATGACCTCATTCTATTGTAAATGTACACCAATGATACACATGACCTCAATCTATTGTACATGTACATCAATGATACACATGACCTCATTCTATTGTAAATGTACATCAATGATACACATGACCTCAATCTATTGTACATGTACATCAATGATACACATGACCTCATTCTATTGTAAATGTACATCAATGATACACATGACCTCAATCTATTGTACATGTACAGTAACATAATGATACACATTACGACATTCTATTGTACATGTACATCAATGATACACATGACCTCATTCTATTGTAAATGTACATCAATGATACACATGACCTCAATCTATTGTACATGTACAGTAACATAATGATACACATTACGACATTCTATTGTACATGTACATCAATGATACACATGACCTCAATCTATTGTACATGTACATCAATGATACACATGACCTCATTCTATTGTAAATGTACATCAATGATACACATGACCTCAATCTATTGTACATGTACAGTAACATAATGATACACATTACGACATTCTATTGTACATGTACATCAGTGATACACATTACCTCATTCTATTGTACATGTACATAAAATATGTGGTGTGTGGAATTTTTATTTTTGATTAAGTAAAAGTTAATGTGACCAATTTGAATGGTTTAAATATATATATATATATATCAGATATCTTGTTGAAATAAAGTTTTACAAAGTTTTTACAGCATACTGCTGTTATTGGAAGATACATTTTAAGGTACTGTTTTTAAATATTTGATTACAGTTGCAATTTAATATATATTTTCAGTTATCAGAATGGAACAAAGGAGATGATAAGATACTAAAAGCTGTAGAAAATGGAGATATTAGTAAAGTGGAGGCCATCCTTCAGAAGAAAACCATTAACCCAACTAAACTTGGTATACATGGATTTTCTATGTAAGTAGAAACTGACCTGTGTTGGTTTTGTGGAGATAATATTCATTAGATATTTCCCTACCTAAAGTTATGCCAGTCATGTATATGTGTTTAGAAAGTTCATACATTTTGAAAGAAAATAATCCATTTTTCAATATCAGACTTTGTCTCCGATATTTGAATATGTTGGAAAGGGAAAGAACACATAAGAAGGACAAACTGTATACCTTATGGACAGAACATCTTATGATGTACATTAGCTGTAACATATTTTCATTGGGTAATCACCTATTTTACCTTCAATGTGTAATGCACTTACCAAGTCCTAAATATTGCCAGATCCCGTACAAGACACTATTCTTGTACTTGTATTTCATATAGACAGGGAATGAGGGATAAAGAATGTTCATGCTGTATATGATTAGTATTCATTACAGTTTATTTCTCTGCATTTAAATCATTCATTTTGAAAAAAAGAAAAAGAATGATTTGTCACAAGACAGACAACCTTTACCAAACAACAACAAACTTATAGGGAAATAAATTCTGAAGATATGGATTACAAGGAGATAATAAAGAGTTAGAGATTGTGCTAATCTTGTCTAAATATGTTTTGATAAAAAAAGTTGGCTTTTGCTTGTGTTTATGGGTTATCAGCTTATATCTGTTGAATACAACTACTACATTTCAAGAATTTTTTATAAAAAATTAATTCAGTCAATATTTAAAAGTAATGTAAACTCTTACATGTTTAAAAGAAAGTGTGTCTAGTTTTTAAAAGTGTTGTAAACAGTAAAATGACTGTTAAGGATCTCTTGGATTTCCAAAATCTGTTCCATTTATACATACTTGGTTCTGTAGAACTACAGGTACAAGCAGATTTTGCATATTGATGCATTTATATTTAATAACATGTTATGACTAAGTCTCTAACTACTTGAAATAAAAAAAAAGAGTTTCCATTGTTTATTTTGATGGAGCAATCCTGTATCACTTTACACACTGAAGAACAGTGTTAATTTTGTTTTATGTAGATTTCATGTTGCCAGTAGATATGGACATTTAGCTATAATAGAAAAGTTGCTAGAATATGGTGCTGATGTAAATTGTCTCACAATCCAGGGTAAGTTACAATCACATGTAAATTGTCACACAATCCAGGGTAAGTTACAATCACATGTAAATTGTCACTCAATCCAGGGTACTGGGTAAGTTACAATCACATGTGAATTGTCTCACAATCCAGGGTACTGGGTAAGTTACAATCACATGTAAGTTGTCACACAATCCAGGGTAAGTTACAATCACATGTAAATTGTCTCACAATCCAGGGTAAGTTACAATCACATGTAAATTGTCACACAATCCAGGGTAAGTTACAATCACATGTAAATTGTCTCACAATCCAGGGTAAGTGACAATCAGATGTAAATTGTCACACAATCCAGGGTAAGTGACAATCAGATGTAAATTGTCACACAATCCAGGGTAAGTTACAATCACATGTAAATTGTCTCACAATCCAGGGTAAGTGACAATCAGATGTAAATTGTCACACAATCCAGGGTAAGTGACAATCAGATGTAAATTGTCACACAATCCAGGGTAAGTTACAATCACATGTAAATTGTCACACAATCCAGGGTTAGTTACAATCACATGTAAATTGTCACACAATCCAGGGAACTGGGTAAGTTACAATCACATGTAAATTGTCTCACAATCCAGGGTAAGTTACAATCACATGTAAGTTGTCACACAATCCAGGGTTAGTTACAATCACATGTAAATTGTCACACAATCCAGGGTAAGTTACAATCATATGTAAGTTGTCTCACAATCCAGGGTACTGGGTAAGTTACAGTCACATGTAAATTGTCTCACAATCCAGGGTAAGTTATAATCACTCGTTATTCACTTTACAGAGACTTGGTTGGTTTAGACTATTATGCATTTGGCTAGCTGATTTGTCGTTACAGGATAAAAACTTTTGTAATGCTTTTTCCAAAAAAATAGTCTTGTATCTAAGGAGTACAGATATTTTTCTATAAAACAAATTGTATCTGAGCTCAGATGGGAAACTCATAATTTCCACTGGTTGTATTACATAGTTAATTAAAATGATAATATTGAAATTACAAAAGATAAATAGAGATTAAAAAGTACATAGATGTTCTTTATATTGTGTTATAATTAATAAACTGAACTAAGGATTTGGCTAAAAGATGGAATCAATACTACATAAAACATATGTTAAATAAATTTGAGATGACATTAAGAGTTTGGCTTACTTTATTGATAACAAACTCTTTACTATGATAAATATATGTTACATGGCTTATGTTAACACTACATACATGTTGCTAATAACTTGTTTACAGTTTCAAATGAAATTAAGGAATACTTGTAGCCTTTCAAGTTGTAGGGTTTTCATAAGCACTGATTCTTCTGTTATGTAGACTAAGGGAAATTAACCCATTATTTTACCATACAGCCTTCAAATATGAGCAAAACACAAACTGTATAGATGAAGATAAAAGGCCTAGACATGACATGTAAAACAATTTTGTATATCAGATTATTTAGGGTGGGGAAAAAAAGGACATTCAAACTCATAATTCGAAATAAACTGACAACGTCATGGCTAAAAAAAAAGACCAACAGACAAACAACAGTACACAAAGCACAACATAGAAAACTAAAGGGATGCTATATTTAACACATGATATTTAGTTCTATATTCCGTTTACTATTTATAGGTTCAACAGCATTACAGCTAGCTTGTGGATCAGGTCATGTAAAAATTGTAGATAGATTAATTAAGGTGAGAACTAGTTACTTGATTGTCTAAGATTGAAGATTATTTTATTAAGATGTTGAGTAAATTTTCAAGGTTATGATATTTTTCTATAAATATTACAACTATTGCAAACGTCCTGGTTTGTTTATACTTGACAATGATCACAGTTTGCAAATGTAATGTGTTACAAAGGTTGAAACTTTTTGCCAACAAAACTATGTACCGTACTCCTTCAGAAAATGTTACTGATCTATTTTAGACTTGTTTTCAGTAGATCTAGACAAGAATGGAATAAAACCAGTAAAGTTATCAGAAAACAATGTAGCAAACGATAACTGAAAAAATAATTAAGTCTTTAACTATAGACAAAAAAAAACACAATTTTACCAGTCAAGGCTGTAACTTGAATAAGTTATTAGAGAAAAATAACATACATGTGTTATTACAGACACTTTCTCTTAATCTGTAGTAACATATGTTTGTTATCAGTTAAATGTACCATAAACATTTTTGTTTTCAGTGGGCACTTGGGAATTCTTGAAACTTGCGCAGTAACTTAATACATAACCTTGAAAACTAATTTTCCAATTCAATTAATACATTTTTGATCAACCATGGTAAATCAATGAGACAAGGCTTTTAAGTGATAACTTAGCTGTAATAACAAGGCTTAGTTATTACAGGCATTTAACTTATTACATGAGACACTTGGGAATGACTAGGAAGCTTGCGCAGAACCTCATTACATGCTCTTATCATTATTTATTACAATAAATTAAAATACATTGTGATATATGTAGGAGAAAAGGCTTTGAAGAAATGTAGAGAAGCTGTAATAACACCCTTTAGTTATTACAGGCATATTTTTTCTGTAATAACATGGGTGTGTTATGCATGATTGGCAAACTATGGGCTGTTATATCTTTCTAAAGTTTAATATACATAAAGACAATTATAATATCAATAGAACTAGTACACAATTTAACAAAATAAAGGATGTATAATGCCCCTTTGAAACATGTAACATACATATGTTATCACAGATTTTTGATTTTTTAGCCCTCAATAACAAATGTATGTTATTTTTCTTTAATAACTTATTTAAGTTAGACCCTTGACTGTTTACAACACTTCTTAAAATGAATTTTTTTCCCAATGTAACTTAGTTAAAAATAAAAATGATTTTGATGTTACAAATACTTTTCATTCCCAAAAATAACGGGTCCTCTTACCTTTTTTTGTATATCAATTTTTTGTTATCTCCCTTGCCATTCAATTCTGCTCTTGAAAAAACATGTTACATCACAGTTTATGCAAAAATTTCATAGTTCCTTAACGACATAGAAAAATATACATGTTTGCCTTTTGTCAATAGAAATGTCCATGAGGTGTCTAGTAGTTGATAAAGACACAAAGACCAATCCGGATGAGTTTTACTCTTTAATTTTGAAAAGCAAGTTTTTTTTTATAGAATATCTGTGATGAATCTTCTCAATGGTAAATTATAACTCAGAAGAAGATGACAATTTCTGTTTCATTCTTGCAAATGTGACAGTATGAGTTTGCATTTCTGACATTGCTTTTTAAATTTGTTTGTTGTATTTATGTTGATTTATAATTGTCAGGCTGGAGCAGAAATGAATTTGAAGGATGGGCAACAGCTTACAGCTTTACACCATGCATGTATGGGGTGCTACCATGAATGTGTTCAAGTTTTATTGGCTAATGGTGCAGACGTTTCATTGGGAGATCAGGTTTGTTATATGTCATTGTGGCTTTTGAAAACTGTGCAACAAAAAATCAAGTAAAAAATCCAAATAAATTACCATACATGAAAAAAAAAAAAAAAAACTTTTATTATTGCAATGAAAAATTCCATTTTTTCAAACAATGAAATAATTACCTGGAAAGATTGTTATAAGGTTATTTATTGTTTGTGTAAAAAATTCACAAAGCAACAAAAAAAGTTATCCCTACTTTAAACTGCTGACTTAGATTCCATACATTAGCAGAATCTATCTTTCCAAATGCCATTGTGCAGCTTTTTTAAATTTTTTTATCGGAATATTTAAGGATTCCCAAAGAAAATCAAAGACCTATTTATTAGAATGAATGTTATATTTTGTATCATCAACTCCTCTGAAAACTATCAATACATTTCTTGAATAGAGTCTGTATTGTGTAATTCTATTATTAATCTATTGTTTCATTTTTTTAGCCTTATTATATTTTGGGTTTCTTAAAAACATGACCCTTGCTTGGAGTGGGAATATCAATTTGTTAGCTATGTCCAGTTTATTTTCCAGACTAGTAGAACTCCCCTCTGTTTTATTATTTATTTACAGACAGGGAGAACTTCCCAATTTTGTAATTTTGTTTTTTATTATGTATGTACAGAATTGGTGAACTCCCGTAATTTTGACTGTTATATTTTTATTTATTTACAGACTGGGAGAACTCCCCTATTTTTCGCTGCTTTATCAGGACAAGTAGAAATATGTAAAGATCTCTTAGACAAAGAAGCCAACATCAACAGCATAGAAAATAATCAAATGTAAGTGTAAAATTGAGTAGAAATAATCCAATGTGTCTAAAAGAGTTGAAAAAAAATCAATTTGAAGTAGGTAAGGTTGTTATCAGATAAGTGCACAGATCTATAATAAACAACTTAAGTTTGCATTTTCATATATTTGAAAAAATGGACGGAAAAAACATTGAAAAATACACCTTACAAAAAAGCAAATATAGCTCTTAAAATTAAAATACTTGACAATTTGCCAAAATGTAGTTTATATCATGGCTTTCTCAAATATATAATAAAGAGCATGTGTCATAGGGCTTCTTTTTTGTTATCAACCTACAGATTGTGCAAAATGTCAGATTTTGTATAGATTATTCATGGAAAACACAATTTTGTGATAGAAAGAAAACTAAAACATAGAATTTTAAGATAAGATATGAGAAGATAGCTCTGATAATGGGCTTTCACAATACGAAAAGAAAAAATAGGGTCACAGGACTTGTTTTCTTGCTACAAAACAAAATAGGTAAATTCATAATACATTCCAGTATAAAAGCTACATTATCTGAGTTATATCCATTATTTATATGGCAAAGATGAAAGAGTTGAATCAAACAAAAAATGTTCTGTAATTGTAAAAAACAGTTGCAAAATTATGATAAAAATTATAATCTTTTTCATTCAGACAAAGAGTCTAACAAATGAATGACATTCTTCTCTCAAAATTTGCACATTTCATTTATGATCTAGCTGCTTGTTTTCTGCTATTTTATAACCCAAGTGTAACCGGAAGACACCTGAACTACCTTAAAAAGGATATTCATGAAAAATTATGTCTACATTGAAAATTATATTTTAGGACTCCATTGATGGGTGCAGCAAATCGAGGCCGCAAGGAAGTTTGTGAACTGCTACTTAAAAAAGGTGCTAATCGAGATCTCACTGATGTCAGAGGTGAGTCTTTTGGTGATAACTATATAACAATTTTTATTATATATCCTGAGTTGAGGTCCACATCATTATGTTTTACTCTTCAATTGAATATTAACATAAAACATGCATCAAAAGTTTCAGAAGGTTAAATGTGAGATAATTAAAACTGAATCCAATCAAATTACGTAAAAAACAACTTCACATCATAAACATGTATAAGAGATACACTAAGTGTGAAAAATATGGTAGATTGAAAATAAGAAACAAAAAAGTATGATCTTCATTTTTTGCTAATAAATTATGTAAAGAAACATACAAAAATCACTTCTCAAAACAGTGCAATAAACATCACCTTGTGTATTCTATGGTTTTGTCATATTTGATAAAAATTCCCTCACTATATCTGATAACTAATTATACCCCCGCTTTAAAAAAGTGGGGTATACTGTTTTACCTCTGTCTGTCCGTCTGTCCGTCCATCCGTCCCATGAATATTTTTTGTCACATCTTTCTCAGGAACTACATCATAAGGATTTCTGAAATTTGGTTTCAGGGTTTATATAAGTCAGCTATACCGTGTGATGCGTTTTCAGATTTATCACTCAACAACTTCCTGTTTACCGAACACTTACATATTTTTATACTATTAAAATTATCTAGTTGCAGCAGGGGTATCATCAGTGAGCAGTAGCTCACAGTTTTACTTGTTGTAATGGTCTTATTTTTCTAAAGGTTTCACAGCATTACAACATGCTATGGAAGAGAAACATAAAGACATACAGGAAGTATTTATCAAAGCACCTACCATAGCAACATGGGATGTTCCTGGTACTACATGTACGTTTTTGTCAATCTTATTATTTAGAATTTTTTTTCAAATAAATATATTTTAAAGAAAAAAAGTTATGATTATTTACTTAAGACATTGAAAACTCTTAAAAAAAAGTATGAATTGTTTTACTGGTATAAATAGATAAATTCTTAGAATATGATAGTAGTGTCCCTAAAAAAAAGTTATTTAAAAAATTTTGGCCGTGAATGCCTTTCAGTGTCAATGACCCACTGAAGAATCATTAATTTATCATTTTAAACAGTATATGTTTTACTATCTCTTGTAATGTGAAACTTTAAGTGATTGGAAAAATGAATTTTGCATTTTAGTGGACAGGAAAAAAAAAGACATAAAAGGTGCTGAAGGTGGAGCAGATACCTCAGAGATGCCAGAGGCTGATCAGGTAATTTGTTATTCCTATATTAATCTCTTCTTTGCTCTGTAAACAAAGTACTGGTATTGTACTGGTACTGGTATTGTACTGGTACTGGTATTGTACTGGTACTGGTATTGTACTGGTACTGGTATTGTACTGGTACTGGTATTGTACTGGTATTGTACTGGTACTGGTATTGTTTTAATTCCAATAAAACATAAGGTACATATACTTGTCATCACCATTGAATTTGTATTATGAAGGAAGCTGGAGTTCATCATTGATAAGTCTGTATTTAAGATTTAATCAAGGGTAATACTTTAACCCATTTCTTATGCTCAGGGTGTCAATTTTATGCTAACATTGCAACCCCTGTTAAAATCTCCAATAAACCTTGGTCTCCATATTACTTCTAACAGAAAAGTTCATTAGATTATGGGCTATCTAAAACTTTTAAGAACCCAGGATATGAATAGGTTATTTGACCTTAGAAATCCCAGTATTTTATATTCTCTCTAGGACCACAAGATAGGCAAAAGGCTTTTTAAACCCTTATAAAGTTATTTACAGTCAAGAACTGTCTTATCAGTAAATAAGTTTCTGAAACCTTTTGAACCCAGAGTGCGATATGTTATTTGCCCTTTATTAGACACAACAATACCCCTCAAAAAATAGAATATGAAATAGACTCTTGAAAAAAATTTTCCTGTGTGTTTTCAATTCTGATCAAATTTTTTTTTATACCCCGCTTTAAAAAAGTGGGGGTATACTGTTTTACCTCTGTCCGTCCATCCGTCAGTCCATCTGTCAGTCCGTCCTTCCATCCCATGAATATTTTTCGTCGCCTTTTTCTTGGGAACTACAATACAAGGATTTCTGAAATTTGGTTTCAGGGTTTATATAAGTCAGTATACCGTGTGATGCGTTTTCAGATTCATCACTCAACAACTTCCTGTTTACAGAAATAATTGGGCGGGGGTATCATCAGTGAGCAGTAGCTCGCAGTTTCGCTTGTTTTTATGCCCCCGCCATAGCGGAAGGGGGCATTAAGATTTACCCTTGTCCGTCCGTACGTATGAACGTACGTCCCAAAATTGGTTTCCGTCCTCTAACTTTAGTTTGCCTCAACCAAATGTTATGAAACTTATACACAATGCTTATTACCACAAAACACAGATCAAGTTTGAATTTTGGTGGCGTCACTTTTACCGTTTTAGAGTTATGCCCCTTTACAAATGGAAAATTGTTGAATTTATCAATTCCGTTCTTTAACTTTAGTTTGCCTCAACCAAATGTTATGAAACTTATACACAATGCTTATTACCACAAAACACAGATCAAGTTTGAATTTTGGTGGCGTCACTTTTAATGTTCTAGAGTTATGCCCCTTTACAAATGGAAAAATTGCTGAATTTTTTGTTTCTGTTCTCTTACTTTAGTTTGCCTCAACCAAATGTTATGAAACTTATACACAATGCCTATTACCACAAAACACAGATCAAGTTTGAATTTTGGTGGCGTTATTTTAACTGTTCTAAAGTTATGCCCCTTTACAAATGGAAAAATTGCTGAATTTTTCGTTTCTGTTCTCTAATTTTAGTTTGCCTCAACCAAATGTTATGAAACTTATACACAATGCTTATTATCACAAAACACAGATCAAGTTTGAATTTTGGTGGTGTCACTTTAACTGTTCTAGAGTTATGCCTCTTTAGAAATGGAAAAATTGCAAAATTTTTATTTTCTTCTAAATATCAAGTAATTTTTAAAATGGGAGTGATCTTCCTTTGTCCATGATATAGTTGAATCAACTACAATCAATGCTTTATACAATGCAATGTTTAATTTTGACTTCCACTGATAAAACACAGATCAAGTTGAATTTGGATAGTGTCACTTTAACCATTATTGAGTTATGCCCCTTTATAAATCAAAAGATTGCAAAATTTTTAGTTTCCATTCTGTAACTTAAGTTTGCCCCAACCAAACATTATGAAACCTATACACAATATTCATTACCACAAAAACTAAGATCAAGTACAATTTTTTTGTTTCTGTTTTCTAACTTTAGTTTGCCTCAACCAAATGTTATGAAACTTATACACAATGCTAATTACTACATAATATAGATTAAGTACGAAATTTGGTGGCAACACTTTTACCATTCTTGAATAATGTCCCTTTATAAACATAAAAATTGCTGAATTTTTCATTTCTGTTCTCTAACTTTAGTTTGTCTCAACCAAATGTTATAAAACTTATACACAACCGTTCTAGAGTTATGCATGTTTATAAATAGAAAAATTGCTAAATTTTTAGTTTCTGTTCTCTACTTAAGTTAGCCTCAACCAAATGTTATGAGACTTACACACAATGCTTATTACCACAAAACTCAGATCAAGTTCAAATTTGGGTAGCGTCACTTTTACCGTTCTTCAGTTATGTCCCTTTATAACTATATGATATGCAAGTGGGGGCATCATCTGTGTCCACACATTTATTTATGTGTATGAAGAATACAAATGTGTTTTATATAAAAATCCCACCATTTCACAAGGAAACAAGCATGTTGGATATGTAATATCACAAAAAACAGCATATTATTCTTTTGACTATTATGAAACTTCATTTTATGTTATGTTTACAACACATTAGTTCAGACAAAATAATTAAAGATAGCACATTTAATAGATAAACATACCAAGCAGAGTTACAAATCTTAACATTCAAAGTGTTTTATTACAAATAATATTTGAAGATAACTCTTAATATTGTAGGTTGATATAGTGGCTAATTTTGTTGCTGATACATCTCCATCACCTGGACCTCAGAGGAAAGAAGGAACTCTTCAGCAGGTATACAGTCTCTTTGGTCAAACATCTTGTTCAAGTTTGAACATAAGTTAACTTTGTTCATTATATTTCAATTTGTTATATACTTTATATAGTAAATTTTATGTGTAATACAAACAGTGACAATCACCCTGTATCAGCCATCTTTGATGTGTAATACAAACAGTGACAATCACCCTGTAGCAGCCATCTTTGATGTGTAATACAACAGTGACAATCACCCTGTATCAGCCATCTTTGATGTGTAATACAAACAGTGACAAATGTGTAATACAAACAGTGACAAATGTGTAATACAAACAGTGACAATCACCCTGTATCAGCCATCTTTGATGTGTAATACAAACAATGACAATCACTCTGTATCAGCCATCTTTGATGTGTAATACAAACAGTGACAATCACCCTGTATCAGCCATCTTTGATGTGTAATACAAACAATGACAATCACTCTGTATCAGCCATCTTTGATGTGTAATACAAACAGTGACAATCACTCTGTATCAGCCATCTTTGATGTGTAATACAACAGTGACAATCACCCTGTATCAGCCATCTTTGATGTGTAATACAAACAGTGACAAATGTGTAATACAAACAGTGACAATCACCCTGTATCAGCCATCTTTGATGTGTAATACAAACAGTGACAATCACCCTGTATCAGCCATCTTTGATGTGTAATACAAACAGTGACAAATGTGTAATACAAACAGTGACAATCACCCTGTATCAGCCATCTTTGATGTGTAATACAAACAGTGACAATCACTCTGTATCAGCCATCTTTGATGTGTAATACAAACAGTGACAATCACCCTGTATCAGCCATCTTTGATGTGTAATACAAACAATGACAATCACCCTGTATCAGCCATCTTTGATGTGTAATACAAACAATGACAATCACTCTGTATCAGCCATCTTTGATGTGTAATACTACAATGACAATCACCCTGTATCAGCCATCTTTGATGTGTAATACAAACAATGACAATCACTCTGTATCAGCCATCTTTGATGTGTAATACAAACAATGACAATCACTCTGTATCAGCCATCTTTGATGTGTAATACAAACAATGACAATCACCCTGTATCAGCCATCTTTGATGTGTAATACAAACAATGACAATCACTCTGTATCAGCCATCTTTGATGTGTAATACAAACAGTGACAAATGTGTAATACAAACAGTGACAATCACTCTGTATCAGCCATCTTTGATGTGTAATACAAACAGTGACAAATGTGTAATACAAACAATGACAATCACTCTGTATCAGCCATCTTTGATGTGTAATACAAACAGTGACAAATGTGTAATACAAACAATGACAATCACTCTGTATCAGCCATCTTTGATGTGTAATACAAACAATGACAATCACCCTGTATCAGCCATCTTTGATGTGTAATACAAACAATGACAATCACTCTGTATCAGCCATCTTTGATGTGTAATACAAACAATGACAATCACCCTGTATCAGCCATCTTTGATGTGTAATACAAACAGTGACAATCACTCTGTATCAGCCATCTTTGATGTGTAATACAAACAGTGACAATCACTCTGTATCAGCCATCTTTGATGTGTAATACAAACAATGACAATCACTCTGTATCAGCCATCTTTGATGTGTAATACAAACAGTGACAATCACCCTGTATCAGCCATCTTTGATGTGTAATACAAACAGTGACAATCACTCTGTATCAGCCATCTTTGATGTGTAATACAAACAGTGACAATCACTCTGTATCAGCCATCTTTGATGTGTAATACAAACAATGACAATCACTCTGTATCAGCCATCTTTGATGTGTAATACAAACAGTGACAAATGTGTAATACAAACAGTGACAATCACCCTGTATCAGCCATCTTTGATGTGTAATACAAACAATGACAATCACTCTGTATCAGCCATCTTTGATGTGTAATACAAACAGTGACAAATGTGTAATACAAACAATGACAATCACCCTGTATCAGCCATCTTTGATGACATTCATATCATTCATAGTTGCACAGCCTTTATCAAACCCCTAATCTGTGTTACATCATGTCTCATAAAAAAAACATCTATTTTAGGTATCTGATAAAGTGTATATGATAAATAAAATCAATATCACACACCGATATAAACCTTCAACCAATATCATCTCTGTGATTAGAGTTGGTATGGGTGTGATATTGAAAAAGTAAAATAATATTCTATATATAATGTTTGAAAGAAAGGATTAATATTGACATTTAGACTTTTATTTGAAACATCTGCATGTTGCCATGGTAGGAAAGCAACAATATAACAAATTTATTAAATTTCATCTCCTTTTCAATTTAATTTTACTCGTTTGTTTATCTTCAGGCAGCACAGAAAACCTCTAGCCAGCCAGCTGTAGACCAGAGAGCACTTCAAGCTTATAAGGTAAAACATGTGTATGGTAGATTCCTACCAAAAGAAAGACCTTCTATTAAAAGTTCAGTCATATGAAGATTATTATACTGTTCAACCTAAGAATTTATTATGCAGCATGTTTTATTCATAAAATTAATAGCTTTATGGAAGACTTTCTGTCTATGTGCTTAACTTGACTTAATGTTTCGAAAATTGAATATCATGAAATGAAAAAAATCCAAATAAGAGAAAAGTAATGTTTATAATTAAACTACAGTTTTTAAAAAGGTGATTGAGAAAAGAGATTCATAAACAAATTTTGTGTAACATATAAAGGTATATCTAACAAATTTAAATCAAGAGCAGTTAAACACTTAAGATCAAAGGCGATTATCATCTAATAAATAATGCATGATAGGTTGTACAAAATCATTATTAATGTTTTCTAAAGGCTGGTGTACCTTCAAAGGTAAGAGGGAGTGGCTATATAAAAGTCATCACATGTTGCACTCAGTTGTCTCCCTTTAATTGAGTTTTAGCACACTATTACACATCATGATATCAGTTATAAATCATTTCATTGGCTGGGGGTGTTAAATTGGTTACTAATGATTAGATAATAATTACATCATAAGATCCATATGAATTGTGATTAATAAGGCAGCCTTCTGGGGTTTTATTATCTTTCATATTGACTGGTACTTTTCAATATATTCCATGAATACCGTATATGAAAATTCCTAAATTCAGGCAGTTCCTATCAGTATCATATGAGAGTAAAAGTACAGGGTACCTTCTAATGAATGGCCTGATATTATGCTACTGATAAGTACCTCCTGAATTTCAGAATTTTCATATAAGGTATTCATGGAATATATTGAAAAGTACCACTTACAAAAGGGAAAAGTACAGATCAACTGAGGATAATGAAATTCCTGATAAGGGAGTATATTTAGACAGATTTGGGGGAAATTTAGGTAAAGAGACAACATGTGATATGAATGTTACTTGCTGATGCTATATATAGCCCTGCTGATAGAATGCAATAAGTTATATACTCAACAGAAAAAATATTTTGAAGCTTATATCATTTGCCAAAACATGAGTTCATTTTTCTATAGGAATATAATAACCCATTGTTATATATAGGTAGAATAAGATGGGCATTGGTTACCCTAATTTTAACTTCTAAGCATGATCTAACAATAAGTTTTATTAATTTCTTATAAATGTGTAACAAATTCACATAAATTTAATATTTATGCAGTTTATCATTTGTGTTTTATCGATATTTAAAGTTCATCATTGCATGCTCTGTAATCTATCTCTGTTTATGAGGTGTGCATTCTGTGAGATCTATTTTTAAATAGCTTGTTATTTTTTTACTTTAATTATTAATTATTTTTGTGAAGTAGATGAACTATTAATATGTTATAATAATGCTCTTTTCAAAGATCTTTCTTATTAATATTGGAATTCTTTGTTTTTTGTGAAGCTTTGAAATTTTGACAACAACAGAAAAAAAACAGTAAAAAGAATGAACTAAATGAATAAAATTATGCATTTTTAAAGTGCTTCAAACAGAAAACATTATCTTGATTTGAAAAGATAAAATCGAACATATCTAGAAACTGACATTTTCCAAATATATGAAGTAACACATTAAGAATACAAATACATCATTAGGAATGTTTCCTGCTGCAGTATTCAATTATCTTCATAGAATTTTCTGGCTTTTTGAAAGGTAATGCATAAACCATACATTTTTAAAACCATCAATGCCAATATTTCTTAATGACATTTAAGAACATACTTTCAAATACAAATACTGACAAAAATATTTTCAAATTTGTATTATTTCTACTACATTTTCATACATATGTATGACAAATCCAGGGACAATATTTGCCAGTAAAAATATCTAATATTTAACTCTTTATTTACCACTGACGGATATATACACGGTTTTTATCATCGTTCTGTCCGCAGTGACTGATAAATCTGTTGCCATAATCAAGTGTGTATTCGCAGTGACTGATAGATCCGCTGTAAACATACACATGCGCAATCCTGGTGACGGATATTTCCATAAAATATACCACTGTTAAAACCCTTTAGATTGGACAAAACTGTTGGGGAATCCCGAAATGAACCAATGATAATTCGGTTTTACAAATGAATAATCTTTCATCTCGTACATTCCTTTTCTATAAAAGGTGTGTGTTTACATTTAATTATGATGAATTTTACACGTGTTCGGAAATTCCGAACTTCGGAATGCGATTAAAACAATGGCGGATGAATGGGCCTCTTTGTTCAAATCGGATAGCGAAAGTGAAGAATTTGAAGGATTTATGCAATTAGAAAGCAAAATTGGAAGTATAGGAAGGGATAGTTTAGTTTGTCAGAACAAGATTGCGAGTCTTCCAAGGATGAAGAAGCCAAACATGGACAAATAATTTGAAAACTTTTTACGTCCATTTACGGTAGCTTTCAAGCTTGATAAGGAAAAGAAAGAAATTGATTTGGTATTTGTTTCAATTTTCAATTAATATACAATAAATACTGATTAATTAAACATTTAATTAAAGTACTCATAACACAGCCTTAACAATTAGTGAAAAATTCTCTCACTGCAAATTATCTCTGGTAGTTAACCTACAATTCAGCTGCAGTAGCTAACTAATCAGCAGTGTGTAGTAGTGAACTGTAAAGGTACCTGTGGTAGATAAGAAGTTAAAGTGCTTGCCAATAAAAAAACAAGCATATATACCCTTCTGTATTTCTCATAAGTTTTGTGTATTTTTCAAATTATCTATTAAAATAGACTGCATTTATAAAATCTTTTTTCTTAAATTTCAACAGCTTACATTCTTAAATGATATATTGAAGAAAATATGTTAGGCTTATTGAAAGAGTCTTAGATCTTACTTAGTTCAGAGATGATTATATGTATTTTACTGCTCATATATGATTTAACTAAGATATTATAACTTCTGTAGGAATTAGAAGAGGAAAATGATCAGCTGAATGAGGAATTACATAAACTGAGAATCCAAAATATAAAAAACCAAGACAACATTACATCTCTACAAATTCAACTCAAAGAGGTAAGAGAAGTACAAAATATAAAAAACCAAGACAACATCACATCTCTACAAAATCAACTCAAAGAGGTAAGAGAAATACCAATTTGTTTTGTAAGCAACACATGTTCTATTGTTGAGATACGTGTATGTATAGAATTGCTCACATGATTTCTTATTCAAGATTTTCATAAACTGGAAATGATTTGTTGAGGTTGAACATAATTAAGATTCCTTTGATTTGGCATTATGAATTGGTCCCTTTTATTTTAAACTGATCATTGAGAAGGAAGTAAAACCTCAACCCTTTGATGGAATGTTAATCAGACAAAGTTTGGTTCTCTTTTATTACAGTAGAAGCTCTATGAAAGAAAGCATATGGTTTTAAGGTGAAAATTTACCTCACTTTGAATGCTTTGGTCTATGTTTTATTTGCATTCTGACAATTAATGATCTGTTAATATTTTAAAGTATAGCTTATATATTAGATTACTGATACTTTATGTCATTATCAGATATTTATACTCATTTTATAAATAAAAAATGGAATTAAATTTGTTGAAAAAATTAGAATATATTTAATTTTGCCTTATAATAGAATGTTATTTTCATTTCCTTACAGAAATCAAAAGAAACTCAAGAACATGAACTGAAGGTTGGTAGATACCATTCATAATTTAACTACAATGGGGCTATGCTTGAAATATTTTTAAGTTTTTTGTAATCTGTTTTTCATTGTCAGAATAAATTGTCATTGATTGATTGATTTATTGTGTTTAACACCATTTTCAATTAATTTTCTATATCATGGCAGAAAGTTTTTACTGGTTGATGAAACTGGAGAAAACCATTGATCTTCTGCAGGAAATCTGACAATCCTGTCAATTAAAACCAGAGTCCAACTCATAACCTCATTGTAAACATGCTATTAATCACTGTAGACAACTCAACCACCAAGGCCCTAACAGTGAATTAATTTGGAAGAAATAAAAGTTATAAATCTAGAAGTTAAACATTTTATCAAAAAATTCCACAGAACCAGTGACTTGTACAATTTGAACTGGAGTTGACAGATGGAGACTTGATTTTTTCATGAATACTGTAAATCTACACAAATTTCAGTTGAAGTTAATAGCTTTCACTATACTACAAAAATGTCCTGAGGTATATGCCTTCATACTGTTGATACAAATGAAAAAATATGAATGTGTAATTGGAGCAATAATCAGGTAGTTAATACGATTGGTCTTCTCCTTTCAGATGAAAGAATTAACAGAAAGTTTAGAAACAGAGATGAAGAAAGTTGAAACTCTTCAACAAAATTCCCAGTCATTGTCTATAAGTAATACTCTTACAGAGGTTAGTAGAGAATATCATTGTCTATAAGTGATACTCTTACAGAGGTTAGTGGAGAATATCATTGTCTATAAGTGATACTCTTACAGAGGTTAGTGGAGAATATCATTGTCTATAAGTAATACTCTTACAGAGGTTAGTAGAGAATATCATTGTCTATAAGTGATACTCTTACAGAGGTTAGTGGAGAATATCATTGTCTATAAGTAATACTCTGACAGAGGTTAGTAGAGAATATCATTGTCTATAAGTAATACTCTGACAGAGGTTAGTAGAGAATATCATTGTCTATAAGTAATACTCTGACAGAGGTTAGTGGAGAATATCATTGTCTATAAGTAATACTCTTACAGAGGTTAGTAGAGAATATCATTGTCTATAAGTGATACTCTTACAGAGGTTAGTGGAGAATATCATTGTCTATAAGTGATACTCTTACAGAGGTTAGTGGAGAATATCATTGTCTATGAGTAATACTCTTACAGAGGTTAGTAGAGAATATCATTGTCTATAAGTGATACTCTTACAGAGGTTAGTGGAGAATATCATTGTCTATAAGTAATACTCTGACAGAGGTTAGTAGAGAATATCATTGTCTATAAGTAATACTCTGACAGAGGTTAGTAGAGAATATCATTGTCTATAAGTAATACTCTGACAGAGGTTAGTGGAGAATATCATTGTCTATAAGTAATACTCTTACAGAGGTTAGTAGAGAATATCATTGTCTATAAGTGATACTCTTACAGAGGTTAGTGGAGAATATCATTGTCTATAAGTAATACTCTGACAGAGGTTAGTAGAGAATATCATTGTCTATAAGTAATACTCTGACAGAGGTTAGTGGAGAATATCATTGTCTATAAGTAATACTCTTAGGGAGGTTAGTGGAGAATGTCATTGTCTATAAGTATAACTCTTACAGAGGTTAATGGAGAATATCATTGTATATAAGTAATACTCTGACAGAGGTTAGTGGAGAATATCTGTGTCTATAAGTGATACTCTTACAGAGGTTATTAGAGAATATCATTGTCTATAAGTGATACTCTTACAGAGGTTAGTGGAGAATATCTTTGTCTATAAGTGATACTCTTACAGAGGTTAGTGGAGAATATCATTGTCTATAAGTAATTCTCTGACAGAGGTTAGTGGAGAATATCTTTGTCTATAAGTGATACTCTTACAGAGGTTAGTGGAGAATATCATTGTCTATAAGTAATTCTCTGACAGAGGTTAGTGGTAAATATTTTTGTCTATAAGTGATACTCTGACAGAGGTTAGTGGAGAATATCTTTGTCTATAAGTGATACTCTTACAGAGGTTAGTGGAGAATATCATTGTCTATAAGTGATACTCTTACAGAGGTTAGTGGAGAATATCATTGTCTATAAGTAATTCTCTGACAGAGGTTAGTAGAGAATATCATTGTCTATAAGTGATACTCTTACAGAGGTTAGTGGAGAATATCATTGTCTATAAGTAATACTCTGACAGAGGTTAGTAGAGAATATCATTGTCTATAAGTAATACTCTTAGGGAGGTTAGTGGAGAATATCATTGTCTATAAGTATAACTCTTACAGAGGTTAGTGGAGAATATCATTGTCTATAAGTAATACTCTGACAGAGGTTAGTGGAGAATATCATTGTATATAAGTAATACTCTGACAGAGGTTAGTGGAGAATATCTGTGTCTATAAGTGATACTCTTACAGAGGTTAGTAGAGAATATCATTGTCTATAAGTAATACTCTGACAGAGGTTAGTGGAGAATATCATTGTCTATAAGTAATACTCTTAGGGAGGTTAGTAGAGAATATCATTGTCTATAAGTAATACTCTGACAGAGGTTAGTGGAGAATATCATTGTCTATAAGTAATACTCTTAGGGAGGTTAGTGGAGAATATCATTGTCTATAAGTATAACTCTTACAGAGGTTAGTGGAGAATATCATTGTCTATAAGTAATACTCTGACAGAGGTTAGTGGAGAATATCATTGTCTATAAGTGATACTCTTACAGAGGTTAGTGGAGAATATCTTTGTCTATAAGTGATACTCTTACAGAGGTTAGTGGAGAATATCTTTGTCTATAAGTGATACTCTTACAGAGGTTATTAGAGAATATCATTGTCTATAAGTGATACTCTTACAGAGGTTAGTGGAGAATATCTTTGTCTATAAGTGATACTCTTACAGAGGTTAGTGGAGAATATCATTGTCTATAAGTAATTCTCTGACAGAGGTTAGTGGAGAATATCTTTGTCTATAAGTGATACTCTTACAGAGGTTAGTGGAGAATATCATTGTCTAAGTAATTCTCTGACAGAGGTTAGTGGAGAATATCTTTGTCTATAAGTGATACTCTGACAGAGGTTAGTGGAGAATATCTTTGTCTATAAGTGATACTCTTACAGAGGTTAGTGGAGAATATCATTGTCTATAAGTGATACTCTTACAGAGGTTAGTGGAGAATATCATTGTCTATAAGTAATTCTCTGACAGAGGTTAGTGGAGAATATCTGTGTCTATAAGTAATACTCTTACAGAGGTTAGTGGAGAATATCATTGTCTATAACTGATACTCTTACAGAGGCTAGTGGAAAATATCATTGTCTATAAGTGATACTCTTACAGAGGTTAATGGAGAATATCATTGTCTATAAGTAATACTTTTACAGAGGTTAGTAGAGAATATCATTGTCTATAACTGATACTCTTACAGAGGCTAGTGGAAAATATCATTGTCTATAAGTGATACTCTTACAGAGGTTAATGGAGAATATCATTGTCTATAAGTAATACTTTTACAGAGGTTAGTAGAGAATATCATTGTCTATAAGTAATACTCTTACAGAGGCTAGTGGAGAATATCATTGTCTATAAGTAATACTCTTACAGAGGATAGTGGAGAATATCATTGTCTATAAGTAATACTCGTACAGAGGTTAGAGAGAATAAATTCATCTCAATCATATTTTTTGTTGATTATAATTTTGAATTAATATTATTTATTGTTTAAACAGTGCTTTGGATTTCATTTATCCCCAATGGCATGATATTATTTAATATTGCACACAAATGGTTTTTATGCAAAATTAAAACCACAGGTTCCAGAAACTTATTATTATACACCTATATGGGGTGTGTGTGTGTTTGTGGGGGGGGGGGGGGGGGGGGGTAATTATGGTTTACCTCTGTCAATCTGTCAGTGTTTCTGTCTGTAACACATTTCTGTCAAATTTTTCTCAGCAACAAAAAATATTTTTTTTATATATGGCTTAACACATCATCTGGTTATGTCACACTGTGTGAAACATTGTTTATAGTCTGTTTGTTGAATACTTTTTTAACAATTTGATTGATTCATGTATTAACTGCAAAATAGAGTTAAAAATATTAAACCAGGGTATAATTAGTGAGTAAAATAAAGCCGTACATTTTTAATGATCCTGTTATCCATAAACTTTTTAACTGTTGTAGTTAAAAACAGTTGATTTGACACTCAGATACAGTTTGACAGAAAGATATCAAATTTATTTGATTATCATACTAAATGTTTTAATACTGTGTTACAGAGTACAGATGATGGTATTGAGACAGATCATTGGAATGACAGTGAAGAAGATCTGTTTGGTTCCTTAAAGAGAGGTAAATTTATTGTGTACTTCAGAATAGAATACAAACTACTATGATAATAAACATATGCATTACTTGAGCAGTTTCTATTGTATATAGATTGCATTAATAATATATATTACATTTAGTTATCTTATGCATCAAATATATACTGATGCTTTTATAATATTTTATCTTAATGAATACAATATGTAAATATTTGATATTTTGATTGTTTTTACAGTTTTCAAAATACTATAGAAAATGGTCTGATCTGTTGACTGCCTCATGGAATAGGACAGTCAAGACACATGTTATTTTGGATGTTTCTTTCTCCCTTAGTCTTGTTCTGCACTAAGATCTGTGCACCAAGACAATTAATTTTTTTATTACAACAATTTTTGTCTCGCCTGTTGCGTAAAGTGAGGCATAGGGATTGCTTTTCCAGCGACGATGACGGCTTCTGCTCCGGTGTCAACAATTGTGAAGTTTTCTGCTTAAGTTAGTTTGATAGGAACTACTTGTGATAGATCATTGATATTCGGTATGAATTTTTTGGGCGGGAAAAATTATTGTGTTAAATGATAGGTGTATATATGGTCATTTCTATCCCTGCTTTACTTGAGTGAACATAAAATTTTTTAACATGTACGTTAAGGAACGTTTGAAATCTGTTGTTTTTTTTTATATAAGTGTGTTCAAATTGGCATTTAGGATAAAATCTTTTGTTATATATAAGGTCGTATGGCTATACAAACGTAATCGGATTTGTTTATTCAGACTCATTTCTGTCTTCAAATTATTTTCATATAGCCGCAGTCTTTTGACTGATAGGAGATTTTTTGCATTTAAATGTTTTCTTTAATGTCTTTTGAACGTTCTTATATCAAGTGAGGTCCAACACTTGGGGTTTCGCCTGGCATTGACAAAAGGACATAGGTTTCTAAAAGTAGTTTTTCCTGGTCGGCCACGAAACAATTGGATATAAGTAGAAGATATTAGAAGTCATTATGATTGCCACAGTTTTAATGTGTATTGATGTGACATGTTTGTACATATTTATTGAATAAAATCGGCAGCTCAGAAAACATACAAGCAGCAAGCTAGTCGACTTTGGTCGTTTCTTTTCAGGACACTCATTCTGCCAATAACCAGGCTTGTAACAATTGTAACACACACCAGGCTTCCTTGGTACCGTCTGTCGATCTCCACTGGAACTCGCTGGTTTTACATAAGGGTCAGCGTGGGATCTTCTCTTTACTCTGTCTGCTTTGATCTTCCTTTCAGCTCTGTTTTGTGCCCGAAATATCTTTCTGTCGTCCTCGGAATCATCCGCCAAAGGATTTGCAGTATACTCCTGCACCAATTTCCACCCACAATCTGAAGAATCTGCCATCTTTACCAATTTTTGCCGATAATTCAAAAGTTCAATACCTTCAGATATCTTCTGTTTAGCCCTCGCGGAAGATGGATCTTGTGGCTCTATAACAGCTTCTGCTTCTTTCAAAGCAGCGGACACTTTCTGGTTAAACTTATACTGATCTTTACAACTCTTCCTTTGGAATTTATAACTGTCTGTTGATAAAAGATCATTATGACTACGGTTGAACTGTGCGTCTGAACGTTCTTTCTGTTGTTGATCATATACTTGAAATTTAGAGGTAAATAAACTGTCCAACTTTGATAAAAATTCGTTCTGCGATCTATTTACTTCTTCGCTAACGATACGCTTAACATTATTTTCTAAGTCATCTATAGCATGAACGGCACTCACAAAATATGATGTTCACAGTACGAAGTACAGGCTAGAATTAACTATATAAAACTGTTGCTTTACAACCTAATTTTTTGGCGCCAAAAATTCCTATGCCTACACTTACATGTTTTACACATGCGCAAGAAGACAATCAATTCCCATTATACTTATGTGCCTCGGGAATTTATTAGTCAAGACACATGTTATTTTGGATGTTTCTTTCTCCCTTAGTCTTGTTCTGCACTAAGATCTGTGCACCAAGACAATTAATTTTTTTATTACAACAATTTTTGTCTCGCCTGTTGCGGAAAGCAAGGCATAGGGATTTCTTTTCCAGCAACGACAACGGCTCCGGCTCCGGTGTCAACAATTGTGAAGTTTTCTGCTTAAGTTAGTTTGATAGGAACTACTTGTGATAGATTATTGATATTCGGTATGAAGTTGCATTACTATCAATACAATCAGTTTGACGACTATTTAGAGGCCCTGCCCTCTAAGTCATGGTCCAGTGACTTTGATTTAATAAGCAATTTTCAATGTTAAGTTTCTGCTTAAGTTAGTTTGATAGGATCTACTTGTGATAGATCAATGATATTTTGTATGAAATTGCATTGCTATCAGTACATATCTGGTTGACGACTATTTTGAGGCCCTGCCCCCTAGGACATGGTCCAGTGACTTTTAATTAATTTCCAATCTTCAATGTTAAGTTTTTCTGCTTAAGTTATATTGATAAGATTAACTTGTGATAGATCAATGATATTTTGTATGAAGTTGATATACTATCAGTTCATATCAGTTTGATAACTATTTTGAGGCCCTGCCCCTAGGTCATGGTCCAGTGACTTTTAATTAAATAGCAATTTTCAATGTTCAGTTTTTCTGTTTAAGTTAGCTTGATAAGAACTACTTGTGATAGATCAATGATATTTTGTATAAAGTTGCATTACTATCAGTACAATTCAGTTTGATGACTATTTTGAGGCCCTGTCCCCTAGGACATGGTCCAGTAACTTTGAATTAATTTCCAATTTTCAATGTTAAGATTTTCTGCTTAAGTTATATTGATAGGAACTACTTACAATAAACAACAATATTTTTCTATAAAGTTACATTACTGTCTGTACATCTCAGTTTGTCGACCATTGTCAGGCCCTGCCCACTAGATCATAGTCCAGTGACTGAATCAATAAGCAATGTTGCTGTCCATCAGATTGTCTTTTCCTGAATTTTATGCCGATAGGCGAGACACATCTCTGTGTCAACAGTTTATTTATTTCTTTTCTATAAAACTTCTTTCAAGTATACTTACAGGAACAGTTAATGGGGTGGCAGTATAACAAAACAGTTATAGACTGGATTGTAGATCAACAGCTGTTGGTTGACAGGAAGACAATGCTGTAACCCAAAGGGTTTGGCAACAGTTCAGTCTTTGATTCAAACAATATGGCGGTTGACCTTGAACCAAGTGCATACTTGATATTAGAATTGCATATAACAGTTTATAATTTGTTGAATTATTGCTTCAGGTAAAAAGTCCAGTAAAGACAGTGACACTGATGACAAACAGCTGATAGCCTTACTGAGAAGTCAAATATTGACCTACCAGTCAGAAAATGAACAACTTAAACAGAAAGTTACTGAGGTAAGTGCTTATTAATTTCAGAATATACAAGATGAAAACAGCTCTTATTTTGTATATCATTTACAGTAACAATATGAAAATTATGTGTAATGACCAGTTCTTTGTTTCAGGAGAAACATTACTTTTAAAGTGACAGTGGTATTTACAATTTGCAAATAACCTCAATTTTTTATTCTTACTTTTAGTTAGGACGAACAAATTTGTATGGAGGTATTTCATAGAATCACCTTTTCAACCAGTAATTTTTATATGGCCTTGACCTCATTTTCATGTTCTATTGGTCAGTTTTTCAGAATGGTGTCTATTTCTCATTACATTTGTTGGTTTGTTGGTTGGTTGATGAGAGGTAATTGTCTGTCCCACATATGTCATATTTCTATGACCTGAATCTTAGGCTCCAGTTATCATTCAAGTTTTTGGATTAGATTTGTATTTTAGATGGAGAAATTATACATGTGCATAAATATGTGCTTCTGAAGGATGTATAAAATGTTATTACATGCAGTGAATAAAACCACAACACCTAAATTTTGATGTTTTCAGTTGGATAGCAATATTTTAACCGACTTTGTTTGCTAATGTTTTTGTTTTGTCTTTCACTGTTTTTAAATGACTTTAAGATTTTCCTTCTCATTTTACATATCACACTGTGTACATATTGCTTTATTTCATTTAAAAGAATTGCACAAATATGTTTTATATCATTCAGACATCATTAACATAAGTTTGATATGATCATTTATAAATGCAAGTTTATTCTAATTTTTGTTGGAATCATCTTTTAACAAAAACTAAAAATGATTTGCCAATTTGCATCTTAATTATTTGGAATAATGTATTTTACAGAAACTTAAAATGAAAGGTTTACTAACATAAATTGATTAATCTTTTTACAGCCATCATGTGAAAGGTTTTTAGTACATCTTCATACTTTTTGCATTTTGCATGATTACATCTAGTTGCAATTTATCCTACATTGCATGTAACAACAAAATTTTCACTCGTTCCATGTTTTGATTTAAATAGAATTTCTTGAATAGTAAGGTTGATGTGAATTAAATTTATTACTTGGCTTATGTAGTTTTTAATGCAGTAATAAAAAAAAATGTTTAAAAAAAAAGTTTGGAATTTTAGTATTTCTGTTAATTTGCATTTTTCGTCTGTGGGAATTTAGCCATTTTTCTCTTTATTGAGTTTATTTTGCTTTGATGGTTTATAAATTGGTGAGTATTACTAGAGAGATACATGTAGTACTTCAGTGGCACTGGGAATAAGGTTCCATATCATTGATAGTCAGTTGTTGTTATTGTGTGCATGACAACTGTAAATATATAAAAAAAAATATTGTAGAAATATTTGTTTATAGATGTTCATATTAATATTTCCAGGAAGTTTCTTAAGTAGTTCTTTTGAATAACTGTAATGCCTTTGTTTTATGGCTTGAAACAATACGAGTCATTACTTGCTATCATAATCCTAGTCTTATTTCCAGATTGTCAGATTTTATAAAAATCATGACAAATTTTCTTGTGTATATTTGACATGGACTACACAAAATAATATACTGTTGTTTATGAAATCTCTATGTCAAATCATACTAGATGTGGCCATATTACCTGGTTTGTGAATCATACTTACATTTTTTCTTGTACTTTAACATTACTTGTGCGATTGTTTGGTTTGCTAATTTTATTTTTGAATGACCATTGAATATAGCGTAACTGGAAACAATAAGCATGTTTGTTTCATTGAATGTAAGCATGGATTCAGTTAAGAATTGTTATCAGTACTTTTTCAACTTTATAATAGGGGAATTTTATACAACATTGATAATGTTAAGTTTATGTGATACAGGAACTCAGCTGATATAAAATGTTTGAGTAATTATTAATTCCTTTATAGTATAATCGACACTGAGGTAGTCAGCCTTTAAACCTCTTTATTTGAAGACGATGAACATATTAAGATTTAAGGAAAAGGGTGTAACCACCAATAGGGTAAATCAAGATTTAAGAAAGTTTTTAACAGTATATAGTTTTGTATGACAAGCTTTTACTGTTCAACATAAAAAAAAAATTAAAAACAAACAGAATGGCTTTCCATAAAAAAGAGCATTTTCTTTTAACAATCTTCATTTTAGGAAGAACAAATATTTTACTATTATTTATTTAAGAAGAATGTCGCCATAAAAGAATTTTTTTTTCCTTTTTGCATATATTTTTGACATCATACAAAAATACTGGTAAATAATATTCCTATAAACATTTCTCAACATTTTTTTGTATTTTAGAATAAAGATGGTACATCCACTGGCGACCAGGAAATGGTTCAGAAAATGGAAGTGATGAGTCATCAATTATCCCAGTTACAGAAACACAGAGATGATCTACAGGAACAAGTAGTTAGTAGTGCTTACATATAATAAATCCTTAAACTTTAAATACAAACACATTGCTTTTCTCTTTTAATTGTCTCACATTTTGTCATTTATTGTTCATTATACTGTATGGATTTTAGATATTGTTGAAGGCCCCCATATAATTGTTTACATCCTTGTCCTCGGTTTCTGGTCAATAGTTGTCTAATTGGCCATCATACCATATCACCTTATTTTTACATATACGACCTACATTAACAAGTGGTTAATCTTTACAGGAAAGGGTAAATTGTCACTCCTAAATTGAAACTACTACCAGTCACATTGATGAATAATTAAAAAAACACCAAATCATAACCAAAAAAAACTAGGAAAACTAAAACATATAACCATACAATCAAACAAAAATGTTTGATAAAGATAAATGGCACAGGAACTTCCATATACTCTCCATTTTCATTTCATGATTGCCTGTGTAAAACAAAAGTTTTTTTTTCTAGGCAATGTATAAAATGACCAACAGTACAGATGAATGTAAAGCCTGTTCTGCCATCTTAGATGAACTGATGTCACCTAAGTATAAGGTACAGCTATGTTTCATTTTGTGTATAACTGAAATTACATTTTAAATGTTCAGTTCAATAATAATCATGTTGGTGTAAACAAGCTTTAAAGGATCAGTATTACAATGGCAGAAATTTTAAAATGTTGTTTAAAGAAAATAATTCTTTAATTATTTCAATCACATTTTTGTCTCGTATGCGACTTCTGTCGCAGAATAGAAGTCGCAGAAAGCATGACATAGGGATAGTGATGCAGCGGCAGCGTTAACTAATTACTTAAAAGCTTAGTATTCCAGAAGGTAGAATACCTGGATGCTTCATACTTTGTATATAGATGCCTTATGTTATGAAGTTTCAGTCTGTCATATGTCCATTGTCTTTGACCTCATTTTCAGGGTTCAGTGAATACTTGAAAAAAAAGTGAAGGTTTTTTGTAATGTTAATTTCTCTCTTATTATGAGTAATAGGAAAACTATATTTGGTATGTGCGTGCCTTGCAAGGTCCTCATGTCTGTCAGACAGTTTTCACTTGACCTTGATCTCATTTCATGGATCAGTGAACAAGGTTAAGTTTTCTTGGTCCAATTCTCAGATACAATAAGCAATAGGTCTACTATATTTGGTGTATGTAATTATTGTAAGGTGAACTATGAATGTTTAGTTTTGGGGGTTTGGTCTATTTCTCAGATATTATAAGCAATAGGTCAAGTATATTTGGTGTATGGAACAATTGTAGTGTGAACACATCTGTCTGCAGGGTTCATATGACCTTGACCTCATTTTCATGGTTCATTGGTCAATGATAAGTTTTCTTAATTTTGTCAGTTTATCAGATACTATAAGCAAAAGGTCAACTATATCTGGTGTATGGAATGATTGTATGGTGTACATGTCTCTCTGGCAGGGTTCATATGACCTTGACATCATTTTCATGGTTCTTTGGTCGATGTTAAGATTTTGTGGTTTGATCTGTTTCTTAGGTACTATTAGCCATAGGACCACTATATTTGGTTTATGGAATGATTGTAAGGTGTACATGTCTGTCTGGCATGATTCATCAGACCGTTACCTCATTTTTATAGAACATTGATAATGTTAAGTTTATGTGATACTTGTAGTAAAACTTTCATATTACAGACTCAAAATGAAAAACAGGCTAGACATTTCAGCATATGCACTCTTGCTATATTTGTAGCTATAAGCATTTTACATTTTTCAGAATACAGTAGAACCATTCTGTAACCATGACAACCAGTCAGACTTAGATCTTAAGGTTGTTCAGGTAATTACATTATATGATAGTATAGATCAAGTATTTCTTAAAGATGACTCAGTTTTTATAATTTAAAATCAGAAACTATTCATGTATTTGAAATGCCTTTTCTTGAAAGTGTTCAACTCTTATTTCAATTAACATATTATCAATTTAAAAAAATTTCATGTGTTGAAACAAATATTGCTCAGTTAAATTTAAGGTAAAGTCTCCTCATTCTATCAATTATTCTTGAGCAATATTGATTTCTAAACAGAACAAGTGTTTCAAAAGCTCTCTTGTTATCTCCCTTTGGTTTTTTTTCACACTTAAGTAATTCAAAATGTCCAACATTTGTTATTATACAATAAAGAAATGTAGATAAAAATTCTGCATTTTTATGCCCCCGCCGTAGCTTTGGGGGCATTAAGTTTGACCCTTGTCCGTCTGTCCGTACGTACGTAGGTCCGTCTGTATGTCCCAAAATTGGTTTCCGTTCTCCAACTTGAGTTTGCCTCAACCAAATGTTATGAAACTTATACACAATTCTTATTACCACAAAACACAGATCAAGTTTGAATTTTGGTGGCGTCACTTTAACCGTTCTAGAGTTATGCCCCTTTATAAATGGAAAAATTGCAAAATTTTAGTTTCCGTTCTCTAACTTAAGTTTGCCTCAACCAAATGTTATGAAACTTATACACAATGCTTATTACCACAAAACACAGATCAAGTTTGAATTTTGGTGGCGTCACTTTAACTGTTCTAGAGTTATGCCCCTTTATAAATGGAAAAATTGCAAAATTTTTATTTTCTTCTAAATATCAAGTAATTTTTAAAATTGGAGTTATCTTCCTTTGTCCATGATTATAGTTGAATCAACTACAATCAATGCTTTATACAATGCAATGTTTAATTTTGACTTCCACTGATAAAACACAGATCAAGTTGAATTTGGGTAGTGTCACTTTAACCATTATTGAGTTATGCCCCTTTATAAATCGAAAGATTGCAAAATTTTTAGTTTCCATTCTGTAACTTAAGTTTGCCCCAACCAAACATTATGAAACCTATACACAATATTCATTACCACAAAACTAAGATCAAGTACAAATTTTTTGTTTCCATTTTCTAACTTTAGTTTGCCTCAACCAAATGTTATGAAACTTATACACAATGCTTATTACTACATAATACAGATTGAGTACGGAATTTGGTGGCGACACTTTTACCATTCTTGAGTTATGTCCCTTTATAAACATAAAAATTGCTGAATTTTTTACTTTGTCTCAACCAAATGTTATAAAACTTATACACAACCGTTCTAGAGTTACCGTATGCGTGTTTACAAATAGAAAAATTGCTGAATTTTTAGTTTCTGTTCTCTACTTAAGTTAGCCTCAACCAAATGTTATGAGACTTACACACAATGCTTATTACCACAAAACTCAGATCATGTTCAAATTTGGGTAGCGTCACTTTTACTGTTCTTCAGTTATGTCCATTTATAACTGTATGATATGCAAGCGGGGGCATCATCTGTGTCCACATGTGGACACTATCCACATTTATTGATTTTGTGATGTAGTTTCTGTTGTCCATTCATTTGCATATTTATCAATGACACATTGTCAGCTAGTTGGCAAACCAATAAAAAATATGATGAAAAGGTAAGAAATCATCAGGTATACACCAAAATATTGTATATTGATTGACAATATGATTTGTAGGAGATAGGTTCATAGTAGATAGTTTAATTATATTTTCTGTTTTTAAAAAGTATAGACATGTATATATTATTACAGGACAATCTGAACAGTGGGAAATACTCTTCTTTGGACAGTTTTGTGTCAGATGTAAGGTTAATTATCACCAATAGTTCACAGTCAGAACAGTTAGCAGAGAAAGGACAAGAATTAGAGACCATATTTAACAATATTTATAGTTCTGTCAAGGGTAAAGTGTCTAATGGAACTGATAAACATGTTGTAAGTATATGAAAGGACAAATTTGATTGGATAATATTCTGGTAAAGATTAAGTAAATGGGGGATCATACAAATTTTGTAAGATTTTACATTTAGCTTGGATATTTTGAAATTAAATTGCTAATGAAAAAATAAGAATAGAAGGTTGATTCATCTGAAGGGGAATTGATGACCCTATGATTACTTATCTAGTTTTAAGAAAAATCTATGAATTAGTTTTTGAGAAATAAGATATACAATGATATGATTTTAAATCACTTTTAACCAATTTGATGTACATTCTATACAAATATGAGTCTATTTTAAGAATAGTCAACCGATAATATTTTAGAGAAAAATACATTTGGAATGCATTTGAGAAAAAGAAAAATGAGTAGTTTAATGTAAGGAATATGTAAGCAAAATGTAATAAAAGTCTGTGAAATCACCCAATTACTGTATCTTTACCTTGAATACTCTATAGAATTAAATGAAGAATTCCCAATGTAATATAATTTTTAAAATCCAATGGAATCTACCTAGAATTTAAGCTTTGAACTAACCAACATTCAAATACAGCCATTTATCCTGATCACCAGAGTTTGGGAGATAATATTTTATCTGTTCCTTTGTGCACATTAGATTTGGAGAAAGAATGAAACGATTCTGTGTCCTTTGTGCACATTAGATTTGGAGAAAGAATGAAATGATTCTGTGGCCTTTTGTGCATTGGTTCAATGAGGACAGTTAAAGTTGATAATGTCCAAATGATGTAAACAAATACAATTCAGAGAGGTAATATCTTTTCATTGGGACAAATTAGAACGGCATGTCCATACAAAACTAGATGATATCTTATCAGTGGAAACACATTAGATAGAAAGGCATCTCCATACAAAAATTTGTTCTTATTTGGGTGAATTTTTACTCTGAAATGGTTCAGTTTAGTGATAAAATCAAAATTTGAACAACTGCAAGAGATGATATTTTGTCAGTAAATGTGTCCTAGAATAAAATCGAAAGATTCAATCTCTGACCTTTATGATTATGGTTAAGTTTTTGTTTTAATTAACTTTAAGCCTTAGAAGATTAATATTTGTAAGTGGGAATATCTGTGAGTGTTGTGAAGGTTAATGTGAAACTGGGTCATTTGGTAATTAACAAAATGATTCAGAATCACCTAGCTTAGTTTGTTATGTATGAAAGTTAAAAAAAAAGAACTTCTCCATGAAATTTCCATTTATTGAGTATTATTATTTTTTTATTATATCTGTATATTGTTGTTTCAACAACAGTTTACCGGTAATCAAAATAAAGCATATATATTGAACAATAAGTTGAATGTCAAACTTTCTTGAAATATACCATATCTTTTTACAGCATGCAGAAGACAGATCAGTTACAGTAAATAATGAACTTCCGGTTTCTAGTAGTGGTATTCAGTTGGAAATTTCGAATGACAAATCTGAAATTAATGAGTTACGGACAGACTATGATCAATTGAAAGAACAAAATAATATGTTACGACAAGATTTAGAGACTCTGCAGTCAACTTATGAAAAGTTAGTGCAGGCAGGTGACAATCTTCAGGATATGTATGATCAATTGTTAATAGAGAAAGACCAACAATATAATGAAATGGAAAAGTTAGCTAGGGAAAAGGAAGAAATTGTTAAAGAGAATGAATTCCTATTGTCTGAAGGTAATGCTATGCATGATGATTTGGAAAAACTTGTTCAGGAATTAGAAGACATTCAAGAGAAATTCAAAATTGTTCAGGGTGAAAAGGATGATTTGGAACGGAAACTTGGATCGATGAATGTACCAGCTAAGGCAAGTGAAATGGCTAAAATCGTGGAGGAGAGAGACAAATTTAAAGATCAGTGTCAAGAATTACAGACAGAAAATGAACGACTGAAACATGATCATGAAATAGTCCTTGAAGAGGTTCAGAGCATGCAGGAGCAATGTAATCAGCTACAGACTGATAATGAACAAATGACGCAGGATTTTGAGACGGCACAGGAGGAGTTTGATCAGCTAACACAACAACATGAGGGTCTACAGCAGGATTATAATCAATTAGAACAAGATTACTCAGAACTCCTTGCTGACAAAGAAAAATTAGAAACAGAATTCCTAGAAGTTCAGACAGCCAGTGTTAAAGAACAAAATCCATTAGCCGAGGAAGAAACTGAAGAATTAAAACAAGAAAATGAAATGTTATCATATGAAAAAGATCAACTGGAAATGACAATTAAGGAATTATCCAAAAACAATGCACTTTTGGAAGAAAAGTTAGAGAGGAATAGGGGTGAATTAGGAAAAACGTTAGAAAAATTAAAAAAGGAAGCTTCCTTACGTGTTAAGCATGATACAGATGCTAACACAGATAAAGAGAAACAGATCAAATCTTTACAAGTCCAAGTCAGTCGACTTCAACAACAACTTGCCGTAGGTTTCTAGTCAACAAACTGTACATGTGTGAATTGTTTGTGTAAAAAGTTGTGTGTTTATTATTGTTTACCCACCATGTGTTCAAGGAAAATTTACTTCAAAAATTTTACAAGATGTATTATTCAGGTATATTATTGTGTGAGAACTCTTGTAGCACATTTGGTAGACAGGTACACAATGTTGTCGTAGCAACAAGTAGATGCACACGTAGATAACACTACAATTCACACATAGCAGTTTGTACATATTGTCTTTGCTCTACTGCTTTTATTTATAATGCCATGTATTTGTATACTGATAATATAAACACATTTCCATTTAATTAAGGATTATTTTTTGTAGCTATACCTTACATATATTAAACATAAACTTATAGCTATATAACTATATAACTTTTACCAAATCTGTAATATATATTACGCACACACACTTTTTTTCTGATGAAGCTGGCATTTAGATTGTCTCGTCTAGAAACCATTGAGAATGCATTTTTGGCTTTTTAGAGGGATTAAAAATATTGGGTCGATATTTGGATGTAAGCTATTAATCGTTTCATGAAATGACTTGAAATTTTGTATGAAGATTTATGAAGTCTGATGCAGTATATTTACAAATCTACTTGAAATGACAAATTTAATAGTGTAAATCTTTCAGAGAAATCCAGACTTAAACAATGTATCTGTTTCATGTATTTATCTTTTATTTTTACTTACTGAATACATTTTACTACCACAAAATGAAATAATGATCACTAGTAATGTGTTAAAACAACAATATGTCAGCTTGCTTGGTATGCTTTCCATAAGGAAAACAAAGAGGAGGTTTTTATTTAGGGAATTTATATAATGTAAAATTGAGAATGGAAACGATAAATGTTGGTCAAGTCCATTATTATTTTTTGTCTAGAAGCATTGCTTTATATATTATTCTTTCCTTTTGTCTAACAAAATTTAATTTAATTCTATATTTATTTACAACTAACTCCTTGCAAATGATTTAAATAAATAGCTAAAGATATTGATTGATTTAGTAACATAAACCTTAACCCTTAGTAAGAGCTGTTCATTGTTTCAGTAACACTTACTTATAACACACCTTACATTGACATATAAGAGTTGGAAATTTTATATCTTAGAACTTCATCTTAATGAAAAGTTGGCAGTGTTACTGAAACATTGGAGACATTCCATTGTTTTAACATCACTTACAAAGCAGTGTTACTGAAACATTGGAGACATTCCATTGTTTTAACATCACTTACAAAGCAGTCTTACTGAAACATTGGAGACATTCCATTGTTTTAACATCACTTACAAAGCAGTCTTACTGAAACATTGGAGACATTCCATTGTTTTAACATCACTTACAAAGCAGTGTTACTGAAATATTGGAGACATTCCATTGTTTTAACATCACTTACAAAGCAGTGTTACTGAAACATTGGAGACATTCCATTGTTTTAACATCACTTACAAAGCAGTGTTACTGAAACATTGGAGACATTCCATTGTTTTAACATCACTTTCAAAGCAGTGTTACTGAAACATTGGAGACATTCCATTGTTTTAACATCACTTACAAAGCAGTGTTACTGAAACATTGGAGACATTCCATTGTTTTAACATCACTTACAAAGCAGTGTTACTGAAACATTGGAGACATTCCATTGTTTTAACATCACTTACAAAGCAGTGTTACTGAAACATTGGAGACATTCCATTGTTTTAACATCACTTACAAAGTAGTGTTACTGAAACATAGAATATTTTCCACTGTTTTTACATCCCTAACACATATTTGAAGTGCTTTCTAGCTTGAGTAGATAATCCAGAGTCTAACCACACGTACTATATTTACAGGAGACAGACAGACGTCACATGGATATTGTCAATACTTACAGAACACATCTCATCAGTGCTGTACAGGTAAGATGTTAGATACTTTGTGAGAATCAGTCAGTGATCAATAAAAATTTAGCAAACATATTCAACTAAAGCCATACCAAAAAAATGTGTATTATGTCTGAGTTCTTTAATGCTATAAAATTATGAATATAAATTATGGGTTTGGAGGGTAGGGTTATACTTTGTAATCCTACAATTTCTAATATTTTGTATTGTGTGGTTATCCAGTTTTAAACTTGGATTCTACTGGCTGCCAGGCCATCTTCTAAAAAGTGAATGTCTTTCAAAACATGCACCTGTAGACAACCAGTAATCTCATTATAACCCTGATCTTATATCATGTGTGCTATAAAAAGAACAAACACACTGCCTCATGATGACCTTAGTGTATGTACCTAGATCAGAGAGCAATCAAATAACAGACAACAGGAGCAAAGTTGACCTTTTAACTGGTCAGCGTCAGGAGCATACACATCAAAATAGGGGGTCAGTGGGTGGAGTATTCATGTGTATCAGGTTTTGAAAAGTGAAATGTAGGTCATTTGTGTTTAAGCAGTTTTTATACGCCCGTCAAATTTTTGACGGGACGTATTATGTTATACAAATGTCCGGCATCCGTCCGTCTGTCTGTCCGTCTGTCCGTCTGTCTGTCCGGCGTAAACATGTCGCACCGTAACTTGAGAATGAATTATCCAAATTTCATGAAACTTAACATAGTTGTTTCTTATGATGGTTAAACGATCTGTATACTTTTTGGTGAAAATAAGATTAAAACTTTTTGAGTTACGGGACTTAGTAACTAAAACAGGTGTGTGTTTTTTTTCACATGTCGCGCCGTATCTCAAAAACAATTTATGATTATTGCTTAAAACTTTACACACTTCTTAGTTATATTAATCTTAAGATCTGTATACTTTTTGGTGATGATTCAAAATTTTATTTTTGAGTTATTGAGTATTTTGTTAAAAAGGGGGAGGGGTTTTTCACATGTCGCGCCCTATCTCAAAAACTGTTTATGATTATTGCTTAAAACTTTACACACTTCTTAGTTATATTAACCTTAAGATCTGTATACTTTTTGGTTTTGATTCAAAATTTTATTTTTGTGTTATTGAGTATTTTGTAAAAAAAAAGGGGGAGGGGTTTTTCACATGTCGCGCCATATATCAAAAATGATTTATGATTATTGCTTAAAATTTTACACACTTCTTAGTTATATTAATCTAAAGATCTGTATACTTTTTGGTTTTGATTCAAAATTTTATTTTTGAGATATTGATTTTTTTTTTGAAAAGGGGTGTTTTCACATGTCGCGCCGTATCTCAAAAACGATTTATGATTATTGCTTAAAATTTTACACACTTCTTAGTTATATTAATCTTAAGATCTGTATACTTTTTGGTTTTGATTCAAAATTTTATTTTATAGATATTGAGTTTTTTGTAAAAAAAAAAAGGGGGTTTTCGCATGTCACGCCGTATGTCAGAAACTATTTATGCTTATTGCATAAAAATTCACACACAAGACGATGGGCGTATCATGCGCTCATGGCGCAATTGTTTATTTAATTACATACTCAATAGAAATATAATGATTATTTAGACAGGGTTGAAAATTGTTGAATGGTTAGGCTTCAAAATACGGTGTGTATACATGCCCTTACTAAATCTAAAGATTTCTAAATTGATAAATGTGTGTGTTTCATTCAGGGTCATATGGATGAAGATGTCCAACAGGCTCTGTATAACATCATAGAACTGAGAAGTATGGAGGAATATTGCTGATCTACCTTTATGTTGAACTATATCTTGTGTTGCTCATTATTATAATATGGAGTGTTACTAATTTAACAGTTATGTGAAAAAATCATTATCAATGGGAAAGATAATAAACACATATATTCCTCTATATATATTTATTAATATGTTGGTCTATAGGTAATAGTTATTGTCCTGATTCCAGATTTGATGGATTGTTGGAAGTTTCCTTAGTGTTTAATTTGGATTTAAAAAGTTTTAATTAGTTTAAAAAGGCTTCAATACACGCATAAAACTATAATTTTAGTTATCATTGAAATTTGTGACAACTTCTGAAAAATAACCCCATCACCAAATTTTCAAACAATGTTGCCTATATTGAATCATTTTGCATAAAAAATAAAGTTCTGCCTTCCAATGTGAGCAATACTTTATATTATGCACAATTCACATAAATGCAATAGTCACCAATCATTATATCAACATATCACTACACAGTATTAATCATACATTCCACTATTCTTGTCTAGTGTAGCTATTGCTTGATCTCATCCTGTTCAGATATTTTATTTATAAATAGTTCTATTTTTAATCAGATTTTAAAGTCAGCAAGAAATTAAAAGAAATATAGATTAAAAGTGTATTCATTCCCTTTTCTTGTTGTCTGTTTTTTTTTAAATGACAAATAGTGCTGTTTGTTGAATAAGGAAGATAAATTAAAAGAAAGTTGCTCCTTTATCTCATTCACTTATTTTCGTTTCAATTTAAAGGAGACAACATAAAAAAAATCTATCAGCTTTTGTTTTTCTATCAAATCAGCACCCATGCACAATGCAATTATATTTTAAAAGTTTGTTGAAAAGAATATGAATAGCATTGTCATAGATATAATTAAATATAAACAATATAGTGTTTTGGTTATGGGTGAATGTCTGATTGATCTACATACCCCAGATCTACTTTTAAGGTTTTATTTTGGAAAGTAAGAAATATTAACTATTACTGCTTCTATATGTTGTTATATTTTATCCTCTGTGTGCTAATACTAGTGTTAAACATTGACTACGCAAATACTTACTTTATATTTCTTGTTAATACATCTTTCTAATGTCTCTTTTGTACTATATATCTATTTATAAAAACAGGTATTTGATACTTATATATCTATTTATAATAACAGGTATTTGATACATATATATCATCAAAACAAACTGTTTAATATTAATATCTCTATAAGCTTGCAATGTATGATTTATATGTAACTGAATGACTCATTTACATTTATACTGTTTTGAAAATGTTTTTAATATATAATTTTTACCAAAAATGTTGTTACAAGTGCCTTTATTTAAATTAACTTTTTTCTTAAAAGTTTCGGTGCTTTGATTTACTATTATTTTTCACTTGAGACTTAGAACAATTTTTTAATTGTTGCCCAATATAGACATAAAATGAGTGCTTATACTAAGTGTAAATGTTTCATTGCTCTGAATCTTGTCAAAGGCAGTAAGGGTCATGTCACCACATTAATATAGTAACATAAATACGGGTTGTTTTAATTGACAAAATGTTGAATCTCTTACCAGTATTATCACCATGACCATTCATTTCTGATAAATTGACAGTTTTCTTCCTTTCCATCGTTAGATACTCATTATTAACAACTTGAAATTTAATGAAATTGATTACAAATGTTTTGAATGGAAAGAAAATCAGTCATTGTCAAAATTAAGCAAGACACATGATAAAACTATTTTCTTTTTCTTTATGATGATGGAAGCTTGCTTGATTATTAACAACTTTGACCTTTTATATAGTAGTAATTTGCTTATTTTTGCCCACGGTGCTTTTTATCAACTGCTAAGTAGCTATTTAATTATGATGGTCAGTAAATTCATAACACTTTGCCAGGTTAATTTTGTTAAAATACATACATTGAAATAAGAATTAAATATAAACCAGATTGTTGTACTATTATGATGCACTATTTGACCTGTTTTATTTTTAACCTGAGGTTTTGTTGAAATGCAATCAAATGTAACCGTTATATTTTTATAATTGTTTTATCCCAATGGTTGTGTAGTAGACATATCAGTTATATCAAAATATATACTTTTATAAAACTATACATTGTTTTATTATAGAGCCTTACATTGAATTCAGTGGACGTCATTGTTAAGCTATACTTAACATGGTGGGCATCATGTATTTCATTATGAAAATGGCATTCAGAGCACTTGATAAAAGTTTGTTTTGACTGTTGTATGCTGGTTTGTCTTAGACTGTTGTTATTGTCCTTATGGGTTTGTGATCTCTGTCACTGTCTTACTTCATCACTATGGTACCATTATCTCTATAGATTCTGGTATAGTATGTAGGACAAAAACAATATGTCTGCCCCACATATGACGTACATTGGTTATTGCAAAATCTCCCACAGATTAAATAGGAATTGAACCAAACTTGACAGATTTGCTTCAAACCATGTTTAGTTGTGCACATCTATACTTATTTTTTTATCAGATTAATTTTTTGGGGGATTCAGATAGCAAATGATGGTCTTAGTCATATCTACATATTGTGGAAGTTTGTACATTCAAAATCTCCCATAGTTAGATATGATTTGATGAAATGGAAATAACTTGACAAATTTTCTGCAGATCAGATAATTTTGTTTGACAATAGTTACTACCCTTTGTTGCTTAGAAAGAAAAAAGGAGGGGAGGCATATGTTTTATGTCAAAGCAAAGGTTTTTTGTATCTCCTCAAAGCCATATCAGTATACCTGTTGTACTGTCCGAAATTGAATTAGTTATCAAGTGTATTTTTATATTGCTTCATTTTGAATTTAGTAGGCTTCAACATTTAATTTTTTTTTACCTCAAATTGTGTATAGTGATTGAAGAGATTGAATTAGAAGTCTATCATGTTGATATTTATTGTGTAGGTTCATGGTCTGTCACCAGTTTCACATGTGAATTGATATCTTGCTGCATATATACCAAAGGTGCATTAGATTAGTTTCAAATGTCATTGTTTTGAAAGGGGATCTTTATGGATTTTGCACCTATGTAACCAATGTTACCAAAAACATATGTAAGACCCTTTTGATAGAACCTAACCAACAAAAATTTGTCTAAAAATGAGGTATTTCAAGGGATTTTGCTCCATCTAGGTGAATTGGTATTATGTCTAAATACGCAAATGAAAATAGACTGCAAAAGCTATAGCAGAAATAAGTTATTGAAACGAATTTAGCCTAATAAAAACTGGAAGTTAGTGAAATGTGGAAAGAAACACTGTACTCTCATTTTTTCAAAGTTCAGCATTACTTAATAATGTTTGGTAAAAACTTACTACATGTGCCACAAGTTGAGTCAATCTGCTTGATCACTTGATATCTATTTCAATAAATTTTGTCTAAACTTTTGTTTTTCACAGAATTTTTTAAATGGTCTGGCATGTCAATTTACTGAAAGATCTGGTATGTCAATGTACTACAAGGTATTGAATGATCAGGTTGACAAAACACCATATAAACACCTTTCTGGTTTGTCAATGTTCTACAAGGTCTGGTGTGTCAATGTTCTACAAGGTCTGATTTGTCCATGTACTAAAAGGTCTGGTATGTCAATGTACACAGTCCGGTATGTACTCTGACATATATAAAATGTCTAGTATGTTAATTTACTACGACGTTGGTATGATTAGGTAGACAAAACACCATATCAACACCTTACTGTATGTCAATGTACTTCAAGGTCTGGTATGTCAATTTACTACAAGGTCTGGTATGTCAATGTACTTCAAGGTCTGGAATGTCAATGTACTATAAGTAGAAATAAGAAGATGTGGTATGAGTGCCAATGAGACAACTCTCCATCCAAGTAAAAATGTGTAAAAAGTAAACAATTATAGGTCAAAGTACGGCCTTCAACACGGAGCCTTGGCTCACACTGAACAGCAAGCTATAAAGGATCCCAAAATGCTAGTGTAAAACAATTCAAACAGGAAAACCAATGGTCTAATCTATATAAAAAACGAGAAACGAGAAACACTTATGCACCACATCAACAAACAACAACCACTGAACAACAGGCTCCTGACTTAAGACAGGTGCATACAATGGCAGCGGGTTTAAAGGTTTTAACAGGCGCCAACCTTCACCCTATAAGGTTTGTTATGTCAATGTATTTCAAGGTCTGATATGTCAATGTATAAGAAGGTCTGGTATGTTTATGTACTACAAGATCTAGTATGTAAATGTACTACAAAGTCTGGTTTGTCAATGTTCTACACGGTCTTGTATGTTTATGTACTACAAGGTCTGGTTTGTTAATGTACTACACGGTCTTGTATGTTTATGTACTTCAAGGTCTGGTTTGTCAATGTTCTACAAGGTCTGGTTTGTTTATGTACTTCAAGGTCTAGTTTGTTAATGTACTACACGGTCTTGTATGTTTATGTACTACAAGGTCAAGTATGTAAATGTACTACAAGGTCTCAGTCTGGTTTGTCAATGTACTACATACAAGACTACAAGGCCTTGTATGTTAATGTACTTCAATTTCTGGTTTGTCAATGTACTACAAGGTCTGATATGTCAATGTACAACAAGGACTTGTATGTTCATGTACTACAAGGTTTGAAATGTCAATGTACTACAAGGTCTGGTATGTTTATGTACTTCAAGGTCTGGCATGTCAATGTACTACAAGGTCTGGTATATCATTGTACAACAAGGACTTGTATGTTTATGTACTACAAGGTTTGATATGTCAATGTACTACAAGATCTGGTATGTTTATGTACTTCAAGGTCTGGCATGTCAATGTACTACAAGGTCTGGTATGTCAATATAAAACAAGGTCTGATATGTCATGTACTACAAGGTCTGATATGTCAATGTACTACAAGGTCTGATATGTCAATGTACTACAAGGTCTAGTATGTCAATGTACTACAAAGTTTTGTATGTTTATGTACTACAAGGTCTAGTATGTAAATGTACTACAAGGTCTGGTTTGTCAATGTACTACAAGGTCTGGTTTGTCAATATACTTTAAGGTCTTGTATGTAAATGTACTTCAATGTTTGTTATATCAATGTACTTCAAGGTCTGATATGTCATGTACTTCAATGTCTGGTATGTAAATGTACTACAAGGTCTGGTTTGTCAATGTTCTACAAGGTCTGGTTTGTCAATGTTCTACAAGGCCTTGTATGTTTATGTACTACAATATCTGGTTTGTTAATGTACTTTAAGGTCTTGTATGTCAATGTAATTCAAGGTCTGATATGTCATGTACTTCAAGGTCTGGTATGTCAATGTCCTACAAGGTCTGGTAGGTTAATGTTCTCCAAGGTCTGATATGTCATGTATTACAAGGTCTGGTATATCAATGTACATCAAGGTCTGGCATGTCAATTTAGTACAAGATCTGGTATGTTTATGTACTACAAGGTCTAGTATGCAAATGAAACTACAAGGTCTGGCTTGTCAATGTACTACAAGGTCTGATATGTCAATGTACAACAAGGACTTGTATGTGTATGTACTACAAGGTTTGATATGTCAATGTACTACAAGGTCTGGTATGTTTGTGTACTTCAAGGTCTGGCATGTCAATGTACTACAAGGTCTGGTATGTCATTGTACAACAAGGACTTGTATGTTTATGTACTACAAGATATAATATGTCAATGAATCACAAGGTCTGGTATGTTTATGTACTTCAAGGTCTGGCATGTCCATGTACTACAATGTCTGGTATGTCATTGTACAACAAGGACTTGTATGTTTATGTACTACAAGGTTTGATATGTCAATGTACTACAAGGTCTGGTATGTTTATGTACTTCAAGGTCAGGTATGTCAATATACAACAAGGTCTGGTATGTTTATGTAATACAAGGTCTGATATGTCAATGTACTACAAGGTCTGGTAGGTTAATGTACTTCAAGGTCTGATATGTCATGTACTTCAAGGTCTGGTAGGTTAATGTTCTTCAAGGTCTGATATGTCATGTACTACAAGGTCTGATATGTCAATGTACTACAAGGTCTGGTTTGTCAATGTACTACAAGGTCTGGTTTGTCAATATACTTTAAGGTCTTGTATGTAAATGTACTTCAATGTTTGTTATATCGATGTACTTCAAGGTCTGATATGTCATGTACTTCAAGGTCTGGTAGGTTAATGTACTTCAAGGTCTGATATGTCATGTACTTCAAGGTCTGGTAGGTTAATGTTCTTCAAGGTCTGATATGTCATGTACTACAAGGTCTGATATGTCAATGTACTACAAGGTCTGGTTTGTCAATGTACTACAAGGTCTGGTTTGTCAATATACTTAAAGGTCTTGTATGTAAATGTACTTCAATGTTTGTTTTATCAATGTACTTCAAGGTCTGATATGTCATGTACTTCAAGGTCTGGTAGGTTAATGTACTTCAAGGTCTGATATGTCATGTACTTCAAGGTCTGGTAGGTTAATGTTCTTCAAGGTCTGATATGTCATGTACTACAAGGTCTGATATGTCAATGTACTACAAGGTCTGGTAGGTTAATGTACATCAAGGTCTGGCATGTCAATGTACTACAAGATCTGGTATTTTTATGTACTACAAGATCTAGTATGTAAATGAACTACAAGGTCTGGTTTGTCAATGTACTACAAGGTCTGGTTTGTCAATATACTTTAAGGTCTTGTATGTAAATGTATTTCAATGTTTGTTATATCAATGTACTTCAAGGTCTGATATGTCATGTACTTCAAGGTCTGGTATGTAAATGTACTACAAGGTCTGGTTTGTCAATGTACTACAAGGTCTGGTTTGTCAATTTTCTACAAGGCCTTGTATGTTTATGTACTACAGGATCTGGTTTGTTAATGTACTGTAAGGTCTTGTTTGTCAATGTACTTCAAGGTTTTGTTTGTCAATGTACTTCAAGGTCTGATATGTCATGTACTTCAAGGTCTGGTATGTCAATGTACTACAAGGTCTGGTAGGTTAATGTTCTTCAAGGTCTGATATGTCATGTACTTCAAGGTCTGGTATGTCAATGTACTACAAGGTCTGGTAGGTTAATGTTCTCCAAGGTCTGATATGTCATGTACTACA